CAACATGGGTCGTCAGAGCAGAATGAACCGCCGACTTAAGTAAATGTTTTACACAGTGTATACCCTTCCAGCTGAAACCCAGTACTGGGGCTTTCTGCAATTTTAGTGAGTCAATTAGAGCTGATATTAGTTGACAGCGATCTCCTTCATTCTCTTTTGAGACTTAATATTTCTATTATTATTGGAGGTGTTAACTAGCTACACTCAAAACATGACTTGTGCTGCTTGTTCAAAGAATATATTTAAAATTAATTCATTCATTCATTTTTCTTTCGGCTTAGTCCCTTTATTAATCTGGGTTTACTACAGCAGAATGAACCGCCAACTGTTCCAGCATATGTTTTATGCAGCAGATGCACTTGCAGCTGCAAACTACCACAGAGAAACACCCTAATACTTCCATTCACAAATATACACTACAGCCAATTTGATTCCCCAATTCACCTTATTCTAAAATGTGGAAGCGTGCCTGTTTTCACGATTGTTTCAGAACTTCCTAGTCATTTCCCCCATAGGCCACTGAATCGGAATAATAAATGGCAGAAAACGGTCAAACTACTTTCTCTTCAAACAAATGTTTGCGTGACTATACACACCAAGTAGAATATTATAATAAGGAAATATCAGTTTGCAACATCAAACAGCGAAATGAGCAGTTTTTAATGTCTAAAAATGAATTGAAGCGAATGAGACCGGAAGTCTCGAGCCAAAAAGATTCAAATGACTGCGCCCGCTCGTCGGCGGAGAATAAGGTGAATAGCCCATGTCTTTGGACTTCTGGGGGAAACCGGAGCACCCGGAGGAAACCCACGCGAACACGGGGAGAACATGCAAACTCCACACTAGAGGTCTGCATTCCCGCGGGCGCCGCGGGACCCGACCAGATTTCTGCGGCGCGGGAATACATTTCCGAATAAAACGCCGGAGCGGTCGGTAACGGGTTTAATTTGGGACGGGAGCAGGCTGTCTAGCGAATGAGAGAGACAGAGAGAGCTTTGCCTGTGTGTGTGCTTGGTGCTTGTGTGTGTGTACGTTAGTGCGCGCGCGCGAATGAGAGAGAGAGAGAGAGCTTTCCCAGATAGCAAAATACACTCGGGCCAGTTCTGGCTAGATTCTCGCCTGCCGGAGACTTACCACTCGGCCGGATGATTGTGGACTCACTGCCCGATTCCGGCCTGAATCAATCGGGCCAGATGCGACGGCCGTAAGCGAGCCGACGCTGCTGCATCCATGCCAGAATCGGCCCGAGAGTAATGTGCGCTGCGGCCCGGAGCTGGCGCGACTCAGTATTTATATACCTTTATATAAAACCTTTTGGTATTACATTGGTACTTGATACATGGTATTACAAGCCTTTGAGTTGATATAACAGCAAACGCCTGTG